CAGGGCGTCTACAATATATATATATATATATATATATATATATCTATATAATATATATATTATTCTAAGCGGGCAAATCCCACACGCCAGGGCGTCTACAATATATATATATATATATATATATATATATATATATAATATATTGAGTGTTGTCAATCGGTTGTAATGTCGTAATCATCATCGGTTGCGACGCCAAGTAACCGATGATCGGTTACAATCGTTACTCGGGGTGTTGAATGGCTGCGTGTGCGTAACGTCGTGTGCATGTATGGCTTGTTTAACCCTGTTTACTGTTTGTTTTGCCACTTTACTACTGTGTGTATAATACATGTATGTTAATAAAGGATAACTTGTATAGTAGCGATGATATCTCTGATTCTCATCACTTTTCCAAGTTTTCTTGTTCAAGTTTTACATTATTTCGATTTTTTTTCTTTTTTCGATGAATCGAATATGGATTTTGATAACCAAGCAAGCGCTTGTTCGAGCCACTGTTTAACCGATGAGATGATTATTATAATCATGGATCGTGACATCACTAATATATATATATATATATATAATATATATATATTAAACGTGCATATCAACACTACAGCTCTCACTCTCGCAACCTTCTCTCTCCTGTCACTTTCTTTTCCATCTTGTTTCTCTCTCCCGCCTCCCCCCCGCCTCTCTCTCTCTCTCTCTCTCTCTCTCTCTCTCGCTCTCTCTCTTCTCTCTCTCTCTCTCTCTCTCTCTCCTCTCTCGTTCCCCGCCTCTATATATCTCTCCGTTACGTGACCCACATCCAAACATACTGGATGGATCAGCTTAAGCATTGACGTGGCAGCATGTTTCCTGAGAGGCCGTCCGTGTTGCACTCGAAATAAAAACAATCAGTCTCTGTGTGTACATCACGACTCCACACGCAGACAGACGCGTATTACACGCGACTCCGAACTCGCAGCCACGTAGACGAAAGACAAGAACAACGTATACGAAGCTGCTAGCAAGAAACAACGTATACGAAGCTGTAGATGTTCGTCGTCATTGATCTCATCCTCTCAATCGCACGTGATTTTCATTCGATATTGGATTCCGGTGCGTGGCTGTTCTTGAAAAAATTTCGCGCGCGAGTTCGACGCTCGCGGAACACACGGGCAAACCCCTCGGAGAAAAGCTCACCCATACACAAGCTGGATGTGGCAAACCGAATATACAACGATAGCGAGAGAGAGCGCGCGAGAGAGAGTGAGAGAGCGAAGGAGGGAGAGAGAGAGAGGGAAGGAGAGTGAATGCGGCCCGCCTGTCTGTCGTGTCGCTATTCCCTGGTCGGTACTTAGCGACCCACTATCGCCGTGCCTCTGCCTCTCGCTCTCGCGTGCAGATGCGACAGCATCGATCCACACTCACTAAATCACTGAAGCCATGCGCTCTGCACTAAGCCATGCGCAGCAGCAGCCCGCAGCGCCTGCATATCGCATCACTGCAGACGCTGTCAGCCGGAATGGATCGTGTTATGTCGGTCGGTCGGCTCGCCAGGGCGACCGACGTAGCGACAGTGACAGACTTTTATGTATTGGAGTTCGGCATGCCAAGCTTATACTATGTTACGAGGTTGGTCGTAAGCATGTAAAAATTGTTATTTTCCGTGTTTGATGAAACCAATTCGTGATGATCTAAGATTCTGATCACTGCTTTCGCCATGTGTCGTCTTCTAAAGATCCGATCAAATTTATTCTGTTATTCTTTCCTTTTTTGTTCGTGTCACTCGATTCTAGATCTCTCTTCCTTCCTCTCTTGTTATAGCAAAATAGAAACGTTTTTCTATTGCAATCCGCAGTGTGCATTCGTTCAGAGACTCTCTCCTTCTTCGTTTAGATTCTGTGAACTATGATAAATATTTGCTACGAGGTTATGAGGTTATCTTCCGTGTGCGCCTACCGAAGATTTTCGAGCAATATGTTGATTTATACAAACGCCCTCAAAAGCTTGTTCGAAACTGGAATTTCGGGCATAACTAACGAATTAATAAATAAGCCCCATATTCGAATTGGTCAGCCCAGAAGTGAAAAGTAGCG